TTACCTTCATTCTAACCATTTGATTGACATTAAATTTTTTAAACACATTTAAGACAAGCGTAGTGAAAAACTGAAAAAAATTCATCTGTAAATATACTATGATACTCATAAAATTCTTAAATTTATAAAATTCTTTTTATTTCTTAAAATCCAAATCTATTGAGTACATCTCTTACCTTGAAAAGCCCTCAAAACTTCAATATGTCTTCAATTTACATGAAATCAACTTTCAAAAATCTTCTCAAAAGTTTGGTTTCAAATTCTATTCTTTAATTAGCAAAAAAATTCCAAAATTACCATTGATGCATAGTTTTGTACCTCAAGATTTGATTCTGACTCTAGTTCACAACTAGTCCTATCTGCATATCAATCTTTGGTATGTTTAGGTAATTTGTATTTAATCCTAGTTTTAGTTATTCGTAAAGGTGCTTATATCAATTAATTATCTCATCTGTATTGATTTGTCTCATTTATACTCCTACAAAATAAGTAGAAGTCTCTTCTATAAAAAAAATAGCATTATAATTAAAAAAAAAATTAATAACTTCCTATCATTTATCTTTGTTTTTCTAATTTATCTTTCTACTAGGCTCTTTTATAATAAAATCTTTATTTTTTTAATATTTCACCATATAGTTGTATTAATACACAACAATAGTTGCTAAAAGAAAAAATTTGTGAAAAAACAAGTTTGTCTAACATCAATAGAGACTTTGGAGTTGGTATCTTATGCATCATCCAAGAAAGTCCAAATTTTGTTCTTAGATCTTTTATCTTTTTTAAAAATATATCTTTATTTAGGACCAAAAAATTAAAAAGTATTTATTTTATTAGATTCACAAGCCTTAATTTATTTTATAGACAAAGAATTTGTTAAAAAATAAGAAATAATTTTAATAAAAAAAATTAAGCTTTAGCATGTAAAATTCATAAATATCCATTTATAGTCTTCTAGAAATATTATCCAAAAAATGATTCCTTTAGATATAGCAATTAATAGACATAATAACTTAATAATATTTAATATAATTATATTTTTACCTAATTTAAATATTTTAGATTTATTATGGCTAAAAAAGTATAATCTTTAAATAGACTAAATTTTTGATAATCTTGATTTTTTTCATAGCATAATCTAGAGTTTTATTATCCAAGTATAATTCATAATTTCAAATATCTATTGAAAAATATAAGAGCCTTCATGTATATTTCAAAATAAATATCATCTTTTATTATTTATGCTACATCTATTTCCAATAGTAGAAAGATTTTAAGTAATACTCTAAGCTTGTATTAAGATTATCAAGATTTTTTCAAAAAAAACATAGATACTCTTTAAAAGAATGGTTCTTATGATTGCTCAATTGATCTTCAAAAAAGGCTCAACCATCATATGAACTAATCTATAGCTTATTACATAATAAATTAGCTAAATTCAAGGATTATATTGATGAAAACTTAGATCAAAACTTCATATGCCATTCAAAATCTCTAGCATGAGATCCTATCTTGTTTGTGAAGAAAAAAATAAATCACAACAAATGTGTGTAGATTATCAATGATTCAATAAGATCACTATTAAGAATAGATATCATCTACTTTTGATATCAAAACTTCTTTATTAAGTAAATCATGCAAAGATCTAAAGAAAAATAGAGCTAAAAAAAATATACAATCTTATATTTATGAAGAATAAAAATAAAAAAATAAAAGATTACATTTTGAATCAATAATAGATATTTTGAATATAATTTCATGCCTTTTATACTTATAAATATACTAATTACATATCAACATTTAAAGAATAATATATTTTTAGAATTTTAAGTTGATTTTTTGTCTCTTATCTAAAAAACACTTTAATCTATTCTAAGAATATAAAAGAACATGTACTTTATATTTTTTGTATATTACAAAATATTAAAAATGCATGACTATTTTCTAAGATAAAAAAGTGTGTATTCAATACAATTCAAGTTAATTTCTTAAGATACATCGTTTCAAATGATGGCTTAATAATGGATCCTAAAAAGTTCAAATGTTTATGGATTAAAAGATTTCAAGAATAAAACGAAATGTATAATGTTTTTTGAAATTTGTTAATTATTATTGAAACTTCATCAAAAAAATTCTCAAGTTGCAATTCTACTTACACATATGACTTGCAAAGATAAACTTATGTGAAATAATAAAGCTGAAGCAATACTTGAAGTTTTAAAGATAACTTGTATTTTTGTACCAATTTTATATTACGCTGATTTTTCAAAAGTATTTTTTTATGGAAACAAATACATTATACTTTGCTTTGGATGCAATATTATTAGAAATGAGAGTTGATAACAAACTTTTTAGAAGTTGAGATAAATCATAAGGTTCATAATAAAGAGTTTTTTGCAATTGTGAGCTTATTTCAAGAATGGCACTATTATTTGGAAGGTGCCTTAAGTTTTGACTTTATATATACAAATAACAAGAATCTTGAATATTTCATATCAACATATATTTTAAATTTTTTTCAAGCCCCTTGAAGCATAGCTTTGTCAAGATTTAAATTTAATATTACTTATCAACTAAAAAAATAATAAAGTTTGTCAAATCTCTTTTCAAGACATTCTTATTTTAAACCAAAAGAAGATTTAGCTATTCAAAAATAACAAAAAAAAATTTCCTCTTTTCATCAATCTTATCTCTACATCTTTCAATCTCATTAAATTGACTGTTTTGATTCCAACTACCAAATTCATGAGATGAGATATTGTAAATCAAGGCAAATGATGGTTTACATTGTGTTGAGTTGATTGTTGTTGGATCATGGTATGTTATGTAGATTCATGGAATGAATATCTATAATAGGATTAATAGCATAGAAGTTTAATCAAATACATTATTTATAATATAATTTTAATGAAACAATTGTTGTAAAAGTCTTTGTTTGATTGATTGAATTGAGTATATTATATATTAAAGAACATTTAATTTTATTTGTACAAGTTGAAACTCAAATCACTTTTATTCTTCTCCAAACACCATTTATCATAGCTCTTGTTAGCCAATCACTTATCACTACAAAGATAGAATCATTTCCTTTCTTTTTTATGGCTTTCTCCTCTTTCTTATGGCTTTCTTTCTTATGGTTTTCTCCTCTTTTTTGTTTTGTATGCTTGTATTTGTTTATGTTGCTTCTTTGAGGGACTCTTCTAAGTTGTACGCTTTCTAAGTAGTACCACTTTTAGATTATGAAGTTTTTTCTGAGAAATGATGGAAATACATGTAGATATTACATATTGTTGTACCACAAGTTAAATGTAAAAAGATGTCATACCAAGTACTTAAAGCATTGGAGTGCAATTGAACAAAAGAATGATTTGAAACTATTAACAATCTTCTTTAAGTGAAAGAAGAGACACCACCAACTTCTAAAGATTTTGATAAGAAGCTTCACCAACATACTAGAAGTTATTAAGATTTACATCACTTGTTTTATAGATGTATGTATTACAAGAAATGATGTCAAATCCAAATTTTGTATTGCAATGAGATTTTTTATTATCCTCACTATCACAACAAAGACAAGTCTTAAAATTCTTCTTGGTTATCATGTAATGTCTTTTCAAGTTCATTTTGGTTGAAGTTGTGTACACTTTTGCATTTGCTTTGTTACAATTGTAAAAAGTGTGTCTTTGTAATATGGTTATGTAGTTGGCATTTTTTAGGTAAAATAAAGTATGTAGACTGTAATTGCTTAAGAGTATTTATCTTTGAAACAAAATATTGATGTTAATGATGTTCACACCTTATGTTTAAAAAGAGATAAGAAAATCTCCTTCAACAGTGTCATTTGATACAATCATGGCTATAATTGTAACCATGATGAAAATTATAATAACCATGATAAAAAAAAAGTCAACCAGTCATTTTTTTCATTGGTTGTAAATCTAATAATGGAGAATTGAATTTGAAAATGATCTATTTTTTGACGATGGATAGGTGGAATGATTTTGGAAATACCTGGGTTGATTTAATAATTTACTATTTATAATGTATTTTAGTATTAAAAAATATTCATATAAAAAAAACCTTTTAATTATGTCATATGAATGTGTTAATTTGTAATAACTAATATATCTTCAATAATACTTATATTTTAGCACATAGTTCTTCATGATTGTTGCATTTGTTGGTTTTATTTTTACTTTTATAATTATAACAAAGCAAATGAATACATACACTATGAAAAGTCTATTATTTTGTATAGTTTTTCATATACCAAAACAAACTTTAAAACCTATACTTGCCTAAATATAAAATATATAAATATAAACATAAAAGAAATGTTTATTATTATCATATTTGGTACATTTTTTTTTATTTCCATTGCTGAATTTTTACCAATATGGCTAGATAATCTTCTAATGAAGTTTGCAAATGCTTCATCCAACAAGTATGTTACTATACCAAAGTTTTAGTAATTATTACATCAAATTTCAAAATTCTTATAATTAAAATAAAACTATTAGGAATGCTTCAAATAAGTATTTTAAGCTTAGGGATCAAGGTAAGTGGCCATAACTTTTAAATATTTTGATTGGTTGAAATCGAGAAGGTTGCTTGAGTTGGCTTCTAACTTGACACTAACAGGAAAGAATGAGGTGGAATAAGTGTGATGAACACCAAACAAATTACTTTGGTTTGTACAGATGAAAACATCACTCCAGTTATCTGTGATAATTGAATTCATGTGACATTGAAGTATGAAGATACCTTAAGAATCTGACTTTTACAGCCCCAAAACAGTGCTACCTATCCAAGCCAAGTGGTATACTGCCTGCAATCCGAAAAATATAGACAAAAACCAGTAGCAGCCCAAGTTTCAGTTCAACCCTCTACACTGAATACGAATCAGCTGATTCCAGTCGTAACTGTAAGGATAGGGGATTCAAAATAACCTTCATAATTGCGCACAATAACAGGGAATAAAAAAATAAAAATAAAAAAGGAAAGAAAGAAGAAGAAACTGGAAGTGTAAAAAAATCCAGGGTGGATTTGAATGTCTTACAAGGGTCTCTCCCAAGTAAATGGCATGCAAGAGAGAACATAAATTCAAGATAAGAGTATGGTAATCCGCAAATGAATCCCAATGAACCACTAAACCTAAAATGCACAACCATGCTTCCAAGAATTGATGATCTCAGACCCATCCGAAACTGACGCTGCTAAATTACTAATGCTTCTTCATGAAAGTTCGTGAAAACCTGAAGATGTCCTCACTCAACTACTTAAGTGGGTCTGTGTCCAGTATTGCGCTTATGCCGACTGAAATCGGATACAAACCGAAAGGTCTGCCCACAACCAGAAACCATGCATGTGTAGGGCCTCTCCCCTGTGTGAACACGAATATGCTCCGTTCTAGCCCAAGCCCACTTAAATGATTGAGTGCAACCTTTCCAAGGACACTTCAAAGGCCTGTCATCCAGATGAACTCGTCGGTGCTGAAGAAGGTACTTGTGCATATGAAAATGTTTCCCACAGCCCTTCCATGTACAACGATTCTTTTTATGAAGTTCGAGGTCACGAACAGAATCAAAGGCCATGATGCAGCCTTCAATGTCACACTGGAATTCTCCCTCTAGATCGGCTTCACATCGTTTGGTTGCTGATGATTTTTGATTGCCATTCTTCCGCTTTTTGGTAGTTTTTGTATCTAGATGTACACTGGGATGGTTAGCGCTACCATCAGCTTCACCCTCATTCCCTGTACATTTGTTGGCTCCCCATTCAGAATTCATGCCAGAGGTACATATACGCCGCCTTCTCACAGTAGCAGTTGAACCTGCACCAATAATTGCCAATACAAGCCCTATATAAGATAATAATTTCAAATTTCGTCATATCAGATTGCAGTTTACTTCAGCAACTTCAAGACAAATCCGATCTCCGTGGTCATAACTCACCATTCTCTACTGCAACTGAGGTGAAGTTAGAATTGCACCGTAATAATGTAAGGGAAATAAAAGCATTTGAGGAGGAAGGTGCTCACTTGTCAAGCAGTTAAAATGTGGAAAGAAATCTGGATCTGCCTGAGCTCCAGAACCACATCTACCCGAGCTCAATTTAGAATCCACCTCAACTGGATCGTTACTACCATCGTCACTTGTGTGATTATCATCATCACCAATTGGAAATACGAATTTCTCTTCTAGTGGTAAATTTGATCCTAATGTCATATGTATACAACTTTTCCAATTTCTACTTTTGGTGCGTTTGCCTCTAACCCTGCGGGGAACTAAAATAGGCGATTCTTCAATAGAAAGCTCCACCAGATCTTCTCGAATTTTTTGCTCATCGTTACCTTGAGGTAAAGACTCTGTACAGTAAATGGAAGTTGAAAATGAAGTCGGATCATCTATGTTTCGTGTCTGCGAGAGCAATGACCTGTCAGGAGAACAATGATTAAACTCCTGCGGCAGACCTTCAACTCTATGATGCAGGTATTCTTGTGAAATGCTCTTACTAGGACTTGAATTAGTTGAAATCTCTAACAATCTACTACTGCAATCTTGAACAGGCTCAAGATCACTGTCATTCTGTTCTTCCCTCGGTTCTTCATTTGATTTGAGCTTCGGCTCGTCGTCACCTGCAGTAATCTCAAAATGGTAGGAACTCATATCAGGCTTCAATCCTCTGCTAGCTTCACCTGCCACATCACGGCTTCCTGGCAAATCTTCTATCACTTCGTCACCTCTTGGGGATATAATATTTCTCTCAGACGTCAGAGGTTTGCGAATAAAACATTCTCCATTGTCACGATGACCTGAACTATTTTCACCACTCGAAGGTAGAGACTCATTCTTTTGCTCATTCACTTCCACGAACTTCTGCTTTTTTACGTCCAACGAGACCTCATCGAAACTGGGCTTGCGCTTCAATCGGTTTACCAACTTTGCTGTAGATATTCGTTTATGAAAATTGGACTTGGAATTCATCCAAGAAGCATAACGACTCGGAGTGGTCAAAGGGGTACATGGAACAGTGATTGCTTCGCTTGTACTTAATTGTCTGCACAGCTTTTGAAGTGCCTGAAGTTTAGCACCTCGTTGAAGAAAGCCCCCAACAACAGCACAGGACTGACTCCCTCCACTGTGCGCTGTTACATTGTTTGCACTTGAATTTGCTAGACTAGCAGGAAGATATAAATCTTTTGATGAACTAAATTGTGGTGAAAAGGAGAAGAAATCATCTTGACCTCTTTCTGCGGCCATATCTGCACCGAACACATTTGTTGAGCTCACAAGAAAATCAACTTCAACATTGCTTCAGGAAATAAGGAATAAATTTTCATGTGACAGACTGTTCATATAGAAGACACTTAAGAGTTGAAAATCTAACAAGCAAACGAATATCCGGAAAAGAAAACCACTGAAATGGACAATAAAAAAATCACATTTAAATAGGTCTAAGAGTAAAAAGGAATTGACTTACCGGACAACTGCAGAGGAAGAAGAAAAGAATCAGTAGATGCTATTGGCACTTCTCGCCAAAGATCATCTTCACTGCTGCCGCGAAGAGTAGTTTGAGCGAAGAAGCCATCATCAGAACCACCCAATCGAGATGGTGTTGCTTCGCTTTTCTGATCATCAAGCTCATCTTCTGACATTTCCAAAAGTATCTTCCTCTTATTAATAGGTTTTTTAGTATGTAATTCCCCTTTCGGTGCATGGCCGTCTGTAGTGTACTCTGCTAACCGAGCAGGCCGCATGACTTTACGCAATCTCCCACTCTCAATATAATTATATACTACATTGGAGGTGCATAAATTTGCACCAGCAGATGTATTGTCAAGTAGCGCAGTCACATTACGGCGTCCACCAAGTAAAGGATGAAGCTGGTCAACCCTCCATCCTTTGCCACACCACTGTCTAATTACGGAGGATTTTTTCTCTTTTCTTCCCTTGCGCCAAGTTCTGCTCCCAAGCTCTTCACTCTCTACACTGGAGGGGTTTCCATTCGTAATCTCAACATCATTAGAAAAAGAACTATTTTGACCATAAACACTTAATCCCAACAGGTCCACCCAATCACTATCTCCAGGAATATACTGTTCTGCTTCTACAGCTGCGGCTATTACTTTGTAATCTTCATCTCCTGCTTTCTGGAATGGAACTATCCTCCACTGATGCTGGACTCCAACTTCTGCGGCTATAGCTTTCGCGTGGCGCTCAGCCTTTAAAAAACCTGCACAGAAATGCGTTATCAGACCAAGAAAAACTCACAAATTTCACAATATCTTCTTCTTTCGTAATATTTTTGAGCGAACTTCTATCAACAGCAGAATTCCTGCCTAACGTAGCGACTATACAGAGATCCTTGATTACCAGGAACTTAAGCACATGAAGATACCAGTTTGTTCACATGACTCGGAGATAGGGACATTTCAACATAAGTATTTGCAAATGATAAGAACAAATTTTCAACAATAACTAAAAAAAAGGATAGGAACTCTCCAAAAGAGTCACATGCTTACTGAAATTACAGATGAGGATTACAGTGCCCCCTCCAATCGACTCCAACCTCTTCTGAGCAGCAATTGCATGTTCAAGGCACAGCACCCGAGGCCTTGCAGCACCCTTTAGTATCTGTAATCGATTCGGCGCACTTGACCCTATCTGCGAAGATTGCACTACTCCATGTATTTCATTGACATTTGGATTATGAGTCGCATATGCAACAGCCAGCGATCCAATGTTGTCCAAAGCTTCACCTACTTTAATTGGACTGTCTGTCGTAACAGAGCTGCCCTCTGCCAACTGCCTATCTACTTTCAATGTGGGGGTGCCTGGAACTCCCACTGTCTCAATTGGTTCCAAAGTTATTGCAGGAGCATCAATCGCGCAGGGTTTAGTCTTTTCATCACAGCTAACAAGGATGCCGGTCTTCTCAGAAGAATTCTCTAACCCCACAGTCTCATTGTCAACATTTTTCAGAGCCACCTCTTCAAAAGAATCGAAGAAACTATCATGAGGCAGAGAACAAGTGACACACTCGCCAAAGGACAATGCTGACTTACGCTTTGCTTCATCCCTAGCCATTGCTTCGTCATGGTCGCTCTTGCTGTTCGACTGAAAAGAAGATAACTCAGTCATAGCCCTTCCAGAATCTTCGCGTGCAACCCAGGATTTCTTGCAACTTTCCAACTCAGTGCTCGACTTCCAAAGTTTCTCAGACAATTCGTCTAGACACGATGTTGTACCCTTTAGGGCTAAGGGCTGGCTGTCTGGCGGAGAAATGTTAATCCCTGAGGGTTCTGGATCGAGCCTTAAACTCTTTGAAGTTAGTGACCTTGAATTCATTTCAGTATTTGGTGGAGGCGAGGCCAAATTCGAAGATGCAGGTCGTGGCACGAGATTCTCGGAATCTAAACCAGAGAAGTCTGCAGTGTGATTTGTAGGTCCTACCGGAGGACAGCCCACAACATTGCCCTTATCGCCATGTTCTACTAGATCGTACTCGTCAGCATCAGAGTCATCATAAGTAGAGGCCAAGAGTTGCAGGGAAGAAAGCATTCCCTCCGCATTCATTTTCAACTCGATACGTCCTGGTGAACACTTCGTACTCTCAGCATTTGAATTTTGCGCCGTAGGGTCTATCGAGACTGCTGACCTGAGCCCAGATGCAATATCATGGTTCTGCTTGTCGACCTCTATTGCATCTCCAGCATTATTGTTGAAGGTTAATCCAACATTTTCAGCACAAGATATAGCATTAACAACTTCAGAGGATACATTTATATCTCTTTCAATATCAGCGGATGCGTCATTGCTAGAGTATTTATATGTTGTGGGACACTCTTTCAAATCAGGGGTCCAGACTTCTAGCTCCTCGGTCTGATCCACATACACAGCATCTGTGAAAACGTCAGGAGTTGTCCCCTCAAGCTCCGGTAAGGGTTGCACATCATTCGGAAGCATATGAAAATCAGGTGACTTTTTATCAGCTTTACCAGGTAACACTCCTGATGGTGGGATTGCAACACCCTTGCTCCTCCGACTACCTGGACCTGCGAGCAAAAACTACGCTCAATACCAGCATGACAGGAGGAGGTTGGAGTGGGAGGAGAAGAGCAACGACAGAAGTGGCAAATTCAGACATAGTTGAATTCCACAAAAATTATGCCTATGATGAGTGAGGGTCTCCTACTGCCTCAGAAATAACAAGATAAAGGTGAAAACCATATCAAAGCATACTTGCAAAGATCAAGAAACTAAGAGCCGGATTTAATGATACGAATGATATTAATTAAATTGAAGCAAAGAGGAAAGGAATAACCTATTTAAGAAGTAAGGAATTGATGGCTACAGAACAAAAATTAAATCAAAGAAAGAAAGAAAGAAAGGAAGGAAAAAGAAGCGATAATCGCTTTAAAATTTACTTCCAAGACGGAAAGTACACCTGATGCATGAGAACGTAAACGCCTAAAACTGGCCGCAGCACTTTGTGATGGTCGAACAATAGCCATGCCAGTATAGCACAAGATACCGCACGCAGCGCATGGCATAGTATTTAAGTCACGTGGTAAGGTTGAAGTTACAAGATCTTCTCCATATACTTGCTCCTTCTCAATTTTACAGTTAATATTATTCAATATGCAAGGCTCTCGGTTCTCTTTATGCTCCACAGAAGAAACCTCAGCGGCCATTGATACTAAGGCAGAGCTGGGTAAAACTTGTACGTCAACAGGGTTTTCAGATGCAGGAATTTCCAAAGCATCAATTATAGAATTAACTTCATCATGATTCTTCTCATCTACTGTGCAGGCCTGATATGAATCATTCCACTCTGACATACTCGTGATTGCGTGTGAAGCATATAGTTTCGAATCTTTCACCAACAAACAGCTTGCGACTCCATTATCGAGTAGCTTCCCAATAAAGTCATTTTGCTGGATCACGTCGTTGACGAACATGGATTTGACAACCTCTTCACCGACCCTCTTTTTCTCCTTCAGTCGGGAGCTGCGCTTCTCAGAAGCTATATCAAAAATTGACCTGTCAATAATTTAACAAAGAAGAGAAGTAAAACATTATATAACCAAAACAAGAACATCAACTGCATATAGTAGCAATCTACCAAAGCGAACAGCGATAATTTCCTATGATGCTAGAAATAAAGAATTTACAAACAAATCCAAATTTAAACATAAAAAACCAGTTGATTTTATGTGAGGAAACAAAGAGGCGCAGCGATCAAGATTAATATCCACACCGAAATTGAATTTTAAAAATTGAAAATTAAAAAATACAAAATGTCAGATATTGAAATACGTCCAGACCTCGATATTAGAGACATTGCTAGCATATACAAAAGCTGCTGATGAGAAAGCATGGGCAAATAGTTCATAGCCGCACGTCGCACGGATGCCTCCCTTGCAACTTCCAGCCAGCCTGGAGTTGCGAAATTTGCTGCCTCGCCACAATTAAATCCTGAAACCCGTAACCCAATCCGCTACAGATAATGTTCATAACTACATTGAAGATATAAGAACATATTCTAAAAATAGATGTGTTTCTTTTTTAAGAATTTCAATGGATATAAAAAAAAATGGCACGTGTAGGACAGCATTAGTACATGAGTTAATAATCATGAACCAAACGACAACTACAAACGCAAAAGCAAGTAGATACAAACCGTGGCTAAAACCTAGATGATATGCACGAGGAAAGGTGACCACGTACTCCCCAGCATTCTGTACGAGCCTGAAAAGCAAGCCAGTCACAATTTCATGGGCAATTTACCAAGACCGAGCAACAATCAATGATATTAGCATATTCACATACGATTGGAAGGAAAACCCTCAAACGAAGCGACCTGGTATTGCTAGTTTAGCCTCTTTTTACTAAGAATCAACTAACTGAGAAGGCCCTTAGAAATGATATGAAATTATCCAACAAATTGAGTGTTCGCGACTAGTAATCAGCTGTTTAATCACAAATAGTAAGGCAAATGAAAAAAGATAATTAATCAATGCTCAAATATGTTTTCTTATAGGACCTAACGGTGTAAGTGATACCTGCAGCAAGGCACACCTGCTGCAACCAACACCTCTGGAGACATGACTGTGGTCTTTTCACCCAAGCGTGCAAAAGCGTCTGCAGACAAGACACACAATCATTTCCTCATATTGATAACATGGACTCCTCTTTGTAACGTACATTCACCGTTGTCGAAGAAATTAATCTTTACAAACTGTAACACCCAGATTACTTAAATCGTCTTCTTACCTCTCTGTAATTTCAAATAACTGCTGAATATCTTCTTTTGCTCAGGACATTCCATATTGCAACCTATAACCAAAAAGCAAAAAGACCATATATGCAAAAATTCACTGAGCACTGCCCATAATACACATCGAACCTATATTCTTGAGCATGTGTTGTGGATTTTTATAACTCAATATCACAGATCGCTTTGACAGATAGTGATCGACAGAACAAGACAACATAAAATTACTAAGTTGAAAGCGACGTTTAGGACCATCGTTACGAAACAGGCAAACGGAATAATTGGTACCTTGTGCATTAAGCTGACCACCGTACCCATGAACTCTTACCACCTCTTCAAGTGCGGGGGCAGCATCTCCAGGCACAGCATACCAGGTTTTGGGGGCACCAGTGTGTAGATAATTGAGACTATGTAGTTCATGGTCCTCCACGTGCCAAGCAAACCAACTAAAGAGCATGCCAATGTACACCATCGGAGAGGTAACCCCTGCCAGGATTCACACCATCATCCCATTTCAGCGATCTACCATACTTCTGAACGGCTGAAACGTAAAACTGTGTTTAAGACATCAGTTCTTGCTCCAAGATAATCAAAATAGACCAAAACATTACTGCTCTAACATAGTTAGACCACACATGCACCAGCATTGCCTGGTATTGTTTCAGCATCCGATGATAAAAATTAGCATAAAATAGTAAGAGAACGCCACGGTGGAGCATCGGTGCTAGTAACCTGGCTTGAAACCCCTTCACAGCCAGCATTGACAACATCCACTACACCCGAAGAAATTCAACAAGCACACTTTGACAGGTATAAGTCGAGGACTTGTACCTCAGACAGGACAGGGAAGAACATAGGAGAGATGGAATGCAGATAAGGGAAGCTCTAAAATAACCTGGAACTTCATCGGGTATGAACCGCAGCAAAGAACCTGGGGAGCGGGCCACTTTTCGCATATTCCATGCACTGTTAGAGAGTTTACAATTTATACCCCTACCAGTGTCAGCGTCAATTCCTGCACCTTTCGAAGCCTCTAATTCATCTTCTGAAATTCCTATATCCTTATTAAAAGCAACCTTTTCTTCCTCTTCCGGCCCTGACTCATTCTCCCCAAATGCTTCCGTGGGTGTGGTAGCCTCATCCAAAACCCCTCGACGTTTCGGAGGCAAAGTGGCTTCCCTAGGCTCAGCAAATGCCGAACCCGGTATATCATTCGCATACTCTATTGAGATTGGTTTCTCAAAGGCTGCCTTCCAAAAGTGCGCTTCGACTGCCAGAGGAACTAACTCTTGCGAGGTACCCAACCGGTTGCGTGCAAAAATCTTGGCCTTCGCTTCAAACTGATCCAGGGTGTATGTCTCCCCGCTTTGCCAAACCAATTTGTGTACAACGGAATGTGGTACTCCTCCTCTCACTTTCCGCGCATTCCATCCTAACTGCTGCCTTCTTGTTGTAAACTTGGCCTTACCACCTGCCTCAACCTCCAACCTAACAGCGCTGGCGGGGACATTTCCACCGCTCATGCTCCGTGCAGGACACATGTTCCGGCCCACGGTGGGGACTTCTCCCGTAGCCGTCGCATCTTGTGAATTGGCCAGCGACAAGTTAAGATTATTAAACACCACCCGCTTGGGAGCTTTCGAGTGCGGCGGCACGATCTTGCAAATGCCATACTGCGAAGCTTCTTGCTCTATCTTGAAAATGTAATCTATGAGGTCCAGGAACTCTGCCTCCGTAGGGTGATACTCGGGAGCCAAAGCTAGGCTTTTCAGCCAAGAAGGCACGTCCACCTCCGCCATATTGGTGTAAAACCCGGACCCCTATCGCTATTCCTACTGCTACCTGTTCCTCCTCACTTGGGGCACCCACTCTCTTCCTTCCATCCTCCGAACTTGCTTCTGTAAACCAGTGTCATGATCCATTGCCTCAACAGTAATTGTCCAAGAAAAGAGACGAGCGAAGTAGAAGGAATAGCTGGGCGGAAGCATCGGTTACTGCGTGAGTCCAAATTAACAAGACTAACAGTTTAAGTCCCCTTTTTCAAATCATCATGCGACCCGTTTCACTGACAATTCATAGATGCCTGCTCAATAAAACCTCACCCAAATTCCCTGTCCTCAAATTGGCTTCTAACTCCTTTGCTCGCCAGCGCTGTCAATCCCAGCACCCTAAAGCTGAGCCCTGCTTCTCCTACAACCTGCCATGTACAATTTTCCCAACACCTAACCCTTCCTATCCGTTCCAATCGTCTTCTGCTCCAGCTCCAACAAATGCAAGCCGACCTAAAAATACAACCACATTCTTCCCAAGGCCAAACTAAACCACTCCAAACCATGCATGCATCCCCGCCATCATCAACACTTGTATCTAACTAAGGCTGTTCCGTGGGGAGCACACCATGCCACCCACAAACACCTGCTGTTTCAGCTGCTCCCTCTGCCGCTGTAGTTGGCTGACTCGCTGGTTATCAATCCCTCTCCCCGTGTCCGCACATTATTGTCCACATTCCCTCTGCAAATTCTCCATCACCTCCGATCCACCACCCGCCGAAAGCCCTCTCTCGGGTGCAGTAGAATAGGTCACCAGCAATGTCTGCCAGATTCACCCCACGCGCGCTCCGGTGCCGCATCAGCACATGATACGATTCGGTCCCTGAGGGCGGAGAGCAACGCAGCGTGGCGGGCCAGGGTGGTGGGAATGGCGAAGCGTACAGGGATGAAGAAGGCAGCGGAAAGTAAGCGGGAATTAGCAATGCGAGCGAGGGGGGAAAAAAGAGGGGAGAAAAGGACAACATGCAGGAGGGGGGAGCGAGAGGGAGAAGACGAAGGCAAGGTACACGGACAGCGAAGGAAAAGAAACGGAGCGAGGGGGCAGCAGCAGCAGCGGTGGATGGAGAACGCCAACGACGCAGTAGAAGTTGCACAGACACCACCACCACCACCACAACAACAACAACAACATCCGGAAACCGAACCCGGCTCCGCCTTCTCCAGCATCATCCCACCCGGACTCCGCCTCCTCTCGCATCCCCGATCATCACCCCTTCTTCTCCTCATCGCGGCGCCATTTTTAGCCTCCCCCACGCTCCCCGTCCTCATGCTTATCATTGCCCCCCACCTCATCCCACCCCCCCCCCCCACCCCTCGCCTCCAATTCTCTTACCGCTGCCGCCGCTACTCCTCCTCCTCGTCGATCCTCTTTCAAGTCGCCGTCGTGTTTTTTTCTTCCTTCAAGCTCGCCTTCACGATCATGAGCATAACCAAGATCCTCCGCCTCCTCCTCGTTGTCGCCATAGCCATCTAGACGCACGCACGGCACGGTATAGTCTCCTCCTCCGCCTCCGAGGTTGGTCTCTGTCGCCTTCCTTTCCAATTCCAATTCAGTCGAACCTCCTATTTCAAATCCATACCTTGCCAAATCTTTAGTAAACTATTGCATAAATAAACGAATAAATAAGTATTTCGCAAGGAAGCGTATCTTCTTTGTGTGAATGTGCGCAATTGATAAACCCTGGAGTTTCTTTGAATTGTGGGTACCGTTTCTTGGTTTGAAAGGGTGTGTGTGTGTGTTTACATTCTTAAGAACGGGTTTCTGTTTTGAATTTTGTTAATATTGCTTTGTGCTTTTGGACTAGGGGATTGCTGTGTTCTTGCTTCTTACAATTGCACAAGTGTAGTGAGTCTTACTTGTTTAGATAAATGAATAATTAAAGCTGCACTTTAATTTTGTTTATTGAAGTAAAACTCTTTGAATTGTTGCATGTAATGCGATGTTTTTGTGTTAACTGCATTATTAAGAAAACTAATTTCCATAATAAAAGGTTTTTAATAGTGTTTTTGATTGGAAAACAATTGTGAAAATTTGTCATTGTATCAAGTGAAAATACAAACCAATATCAATAAATACCATTTAAAATATTATAATTTTAACTAATATTAATTTTTATAAATATAATAAATATATAATTCCACAAATAATTATATTCTTATATTAGTATAATTTGTAAATCCATATCTGTATAATTTTTTTAAATGTAATTTTTCCATCTTCAAATCAATAGGATTAGAATATATTATATATATATATATATATATATATATAGTACAGACAATGGTATTTCTTATGAGTATCTATTCTTAAAGCCATATAAAGAATATATATAAATTCTTTTAAAATATCATATGCTGTTTATATTTTTTGATTTTTTCTATTATATATATATATATATATATATATTCATATACATATATTTATCCATCTTATTTATATATTAAAATAACTTTGTATTACTCACAATATTGTGTTCTTAAATTAAACTAATTATTACTCAATGGACTATAGCTTCTTCACCAAAACATCAAAAATTCTTTATAGGTGTATATTGGATGTATAGGAGCATAATATCACTATAATAACTTCTCTAATAATTTTTTTATTTTGTAATAGCCACTATAAAGACATCATGCAATCAAATCACTTGGCTAATCAATCTTTTGGTTTATAAAAAATTATATATAGGCATTTTGCTATCTAGTATTTTAGAGGCAAAAATGTAGGCCGTGCTTAGTCTTATCAATGCTTTTTTATATATGGTTCTTAATTTAAGAATTTCTAGTATTTGTGTACTTAATAATAGTACCTTTGTATAAACTCAAATTTTTATTAAATATAAAAGGTACATAAAAATACTATTTAAGAATTTTGTAAAGATTCTAAAAATAATTTGCTTATTATTATTATTGATAATATCTATCTAAAGCAAAAACTTATTAGGTACAATAATAATAATATATATATATATATATATATATATAAGAGAATGATAAAATAACATAATTTTTTATTAAAGTGATCCATTCTATCTTAACCATAATTGCACTCTTGTAGCCCTTATATTTCTTTCTAGCCATTTTCCATTTTCAACCATTACTAAGGATGGGATGGGGAGCTGAGAATATGAGGAATAAAGGCCGATAGCTAAGAATGGAGATGGAATTGAAAGGATACAATAATGGTTTAAACATATGGATTGATTTAATAAAAATTTATGTTGTTTATCATTTCTATCTTTTTATATCTTTAAATTCTTTCTAAATTAAATTTTAATTGGATAAAATAAGTAATCAATCAAATTATCTCAAAAAACTTTATATGCAAAGTTTCTACATAAATTACTTAGATTATTACATTCTTTGCAAAGTTCATAAAAAAATAAATATCTTTAAAAATATATTTTTTTTCAATTATACAACTGAATATGATACATTTGATAACAGTTTGAATTTCTTAGGATTCTATACTTTTGTCAATTTAAAGAGCAATTAAATGGTTTAATAAGGAATTATTTCTATTAAAAGATCAACATCCATGTTGGAAAAGGAATAAGGCCAACACTCAAGAATATTAGATTTTTTTTTTCAATTGATTAGTTTGATTTTTCTCAAACTTTGAGTGTTTTTTTTGCTTAAATATTGAAATAAAGAAAAAAATATAAATTAAAAAAAAATAATTCAATTAATAGTTATCAAAAATTAAAAAATATATAGTAATTAAATTAGGATTTATTTAAGATTTTTAGAAATATAATCAAGATTTCATTAGGATTTTATTAGGATTTGTTCAATGTTACATTACAATTTGATTAAGATTTTTTATTGTTTTTAATTTTAAAATTTTAATCAAATTTATTTTTTTATTATCTTTATTCTAAAAATTCATTATAAATTTTTTATTATTTATTTAGGAATTTTTAGTAGTTCTTTAAAATTTAATTATATTTCTATTATGATCTATTGAAAATTCTTTATGATTTCTTTGTAATTCGTTTTTTAAATTTTCTTTTGTATTTCTTAAGAATTAATTAATATTTGATTAGGATTTTAAATTTTTAATTGGAATTTATTTTAAATTCTATTAGAATTTATAGAACCTTTTTTATTACAATTTTCAATTTATCTTCCTTAGCCAAGTATTTGATGCATTTTCAAGCAAGACAATATATTATACAACATAAGTGATGGAAAATAAGCAAGTTGATTAAATAGCAATGACAATCTCTTTTAAAGATGGTAGACACAAGGTGATTCTTTGTACTTTTACATCAATTGAACAAGAAAGACAATTTATAACGAAAGACTTATTCATAGAAACAATCTTTATGAAGAAAGAAATATATCATAAGCAACCGATATATATGGTGGTTTTAAACCTTGCATGAGTGGTAGGAAAGACAACCAAATGAGAAGAATGGATAGAACAACTCATATAAAAATATTGAAATGTCTTCTCAATCAACCTACCTAGTAGCATGCGTCCGAATCAAGGTATCTTCTTTCAAATAGAACTATTGGTTAGAGGCAAATCAAGAAGTTGACTAATTTATTACCTAACACCAAAAGAATTTAAAGAGCTGCGGAAGTCATTAGATGAACTCTTAGAAAAAAGCCTCATTTGAAAAAACACAACACTATAGAAAGAACCTATACTCTTTGCAGCCAAAAAGATGATGGACTTTTCCTTTGCATTGACTATTAAGGCCTCAATAAGCAGATTGTTAAGAATATATATCCACTTCCACGCATGGATGATCATTTTGACCAACTTCACAATGCAACCATCTTTAATGAATTGGATCTTTAGAGCAGCTATTGGTAGACACCTATTGTAAAAGAGGATGTAGAAAAGATGGCATTTTGTATGCACTATAGATATTTTGAATGGCTGGTTTTACTTTTTGGCCTTACTAATGCTTGAGCTTTTTTTATGGGTTACATGAATAGATTGTTTCAAGACCTTTTGGATAAATATGTAATTGTCTTCATTGATGATATTTTTGTATATAATAAAAATCCCTGAAGAGCATGAGCAACACCTATAAGAAGTGTTGCACTAGCTACAAGATAGTCACTTTTACTGCAAGCAATCAAAATATAAATTTTGAAAATTGGAAGTCATCTTTTTGAGGCATGTGGTGTCCTCCAAAGGTGTGCATATGGAGCAAGATAAGGTAAAAGCTATGGAAGATTGACAAATCTCCAAAGATACTTTTGAAGTCTACTCAATTTTAGGCCTTGCTCGATATTATTACCATTTTGTTTGGTGATTTGTTCGTATTACTGCCTCATTGACAAACCTATTCGAGAAGGATGTCCCATTTGAATGAAAACTGGAGCAACAAATTGATAAGTTGAAGGAGACAAGGATTACTATTCAAATATTTCAATGGTATGATCCTAACCTTCCTTATATGCTTGATATTGATGCTTTTGACTTTGCTATTAGAATAGTCCTTCAACAAAATATTGGTAGAGGCCTTCAATTAGTGGTGTATGAATCACGCAAGCTCAGAAGGACAAAGCACAATTACCTTGTATGTAATTAAAAATAATTAGCGATTATACATGCCACAAAGATGTGGCAACACTATTTTTTGAGATAGCCAATGGTGGTTTGGACTGACCATCAATCTTTGCTACATAATTTATATTTGGAATATATGAAATCATGACATGATCATTGGAAAGAATACTTGCAGCTTTTTGATATCCAGCTTGAGTAGAAGCAAAGACGTCAATATACTATGTCAGATAGCTTATCAAAGAGACTAGAGTTGAAGGACAAATTGGGAGATAAGGCAGAAGTTACTACTATTAATAGTGTCATTTTAAATCTAACCAAAGAGGCAGAATGGAAGGAAGCTACTTATCTGCATGCTTATTTTAAGATGATTAGCAACTGATTGAAAGTAGGTAATATATAGTATCAAGATTATAGTCTTAATGATGGCTTGCTCTATTTCAAGAAGTGGATTTATATATCCAATAATATTATACTCCGGACATATATACTCAAGAGAGACATGACATCTTAATATCTGGACATCTAAGATGAAAGAAGATTCTAAAATGGATTTCAAAGACATAGTTTTTGGCAAGTTTGGATCATGATGTTTGAGCCTTTGTGCACTCTTGCAAGTCATGTCAATATAATAAAGTATACAATGCAACATCTTATAG